TGATGTAACATGAGTTAGCGCAGAGTTAGCTCAGGAGCCTATCGACAGCTTTGGCATGCCGCGCGTAAGCGTCTACAAACGATATACAAGTTCGTTATGAGGCAAAGCATGCAGCAAAGGAAGCTTCTCTGAAGCTTCCTTTAGTGCACGCGTGGGGCTGGCTAGCTCAGCTAGCCGCAGCGGGGTGCGCTGCAACCCCATTCCGGGCTGCCTCCTCCCCTCGACACCCTGGCCCTGGGCTCAACGCCCAGGATGCCTAGGTACCGCGGAAGGAGGTCAGCTGCTTTTGGGAAACTCTTACTTTAAGTTTTGCCTTCATTGCGGCTCGTCTCTGGTCAGGTCTAAGGCCGGAGAAACCAGCGTTACACAAAGAGTGCTCTGCAGACTAGTTGGCGAGCAAAGGGGGTGGCTATCTAGGCAGCTAATGGAAGTTTGCCTTTCTAGGCAGAGACGACTGTCAGCAGAGCAACCAAACCTGCAATTAGAATGGTGGGGACGGCAGCTACTTCAGCGCCATCTCCAACAGGAGTCTGCAGGTCGTCTGCTGTCATATCTTTCAATGCAGTTGTTCGTGCAATAAGTCCGTTGAACTACTCCTCACTGTAGGGAAGAAAATGAAGCAGACAAACCCACAGCGTCAAAAAGCACATCACCAGCTTTGTTGGTTATTGCTTCTAGACAACTTTGCCAACCCCTCCTGGGGGCTGCGCTCCGAAACCCAATACTTACATACCTAAAGGGGGCCTCATCCTTCGTCGTTGCAGGGCTTAGTTTACAGAAAAGCACAGCCTCAATTGTTACAGTTTCAGTTGGCCCTTGTGGGTCGCTCTTGCCTGTTTGATCTGGTTGCGGATCAGTCCCAGTTGTTACTGCGACACACCTTCCAATAACGCAGCCGATTCTAGTGCTCTCAGATCCGAGAAGATATGCCAAATTGGAACTGTCGACTTTGTTCCAGATTGTTTGCCACTCGGTTTCTTTCTGAGGGTGTCTTTTTTTGCTGGAAGAAGTGTTAACATAACACAGCACATGCAAAGGTGATGTGTTGGCTGGAGAGAAGTCGGCGAGGCTGGTTAGCCGTCAGCCGTGTATCATCAGCGCGTTTCGCTATACAGAGAAGAGCTATGGGACTTTTCTGTAGTGAGGCTGACTACGGCATTTCCTTACTCGAAGGCTGCCAATCCTGCCTCAACAGCCTTCTGCAGCAACTGACAGTAGTTAGGAGTGGTGCCAGCATGATCGGTGTACTCGAAAGTGTGATGAAATGTCTCCTTCTGTATACCCAAATTATACAGAGGAGAACACGACTGTCCCCTTGTATTCAGTCCATCTCAGATAATCAGCTGAATCGCTGCCCAGTTTCTGTCGGGTTTCACCGGGTGGCTTCGAGTTGCCGTTGGCACAGTATTAGTGCCCGTAGCTTCAGCGCAAATCCCCCGCTTTTGTCCTTGTTGTACTCACAATATCGGATGTTATCAATCCCTCCCAAGCCCCTGCATTCTCTCCTGTTGCGGCCTTTACGGCCGACCTCAAGGAATCGATAAGGATGTCATCCTTTGTGACTACACTGATGCGAACAGGGAGTTTTTCATTACGGGCCAAATTGGCACTCAAGTAGGCATCCGCA